TGTGTGTGTGTGCGTGGGTGCGTGCGGTGTGTTTGTCAGTTGTTTGGTGTGTGCCGTGGTCAGTGGGTGTGCCTGCAGTGGGAGCTCCAGGGGTAGACAGCTGAAGGACGAGCCTGAAGCTTGTTATCATTGTTTTGAAAAGTGTCAGACGGCATCCAACAGCACAGACTCTCCCACTGTACCTGACATCTGGAGAGGAGAGAGTAAGAGACAGAGAGAGAGAGAGAGAGGAACTGGCTGATGAAAGTCTCATTGTGTGACGTTTATCTGGAAAAATGAGTGGGAAATGTAGAGGCAATAGCTTATCATAAATGAAGCACTGGGTTCATTTTCAGTGATGGAATGAAAAAGCGTATTTGCTCTCCTCGTGTAATGACTGTAATTGTAGATCCAAATTAATAGTCAGCAGCTCATTCACTATGGTGTTGATTTAGTCCCCTATACATTGCATATGGATAGTTGCCTTGTTGTGTGAGGCGGTGCCAGACTTGGCACACAGTACCGCTGCCTGTGACCTTCAGTGGATCAGCAACAATGTCTCCTTGTTTTCCCTGCAGTCTGTCCATCAGCGCTTTACACTACACCCTCCCACCCACCTCCCCTCCCATCTAGAGCAGGTGTGTGCATTGTAACAGATAACCATGTCCAAGAATTTGGAAGACGAAGGGGAATTCATACAATTACCAGGGAATGCTTATTTTTCTTTTTAACCCTCTACTTGAAGCTTGATTCCAGTTTAGTTCTAGCGGGTTGAAAGAGGTAGAAGCAATCAATTGCCTGATGTCAATACGCACTGATTGTCAAGTAATTTACTTACTTTTCAAGAATGTGTGGATGAAATGTATCCATGCATGGTAACAGGTCATCTTACAGGCTTTTCTTGCTCATGCTGGAATATTTTCCCTCTCGCCCTAATGCAGTATCTCTGGCTTGTCTAAATATTTTTTAATTTATCCTTTGCTTTGATTACATCACCCATCACACAGACAGGCAGAACTCTCCTCCCTGACTCTCCATCAGCATGAGCTAAAGTCCACACTGCGCACTACTGTTACCCTGTGTATTTGTTTTTATTGTAGGTAGTATTTCTAAAAGAAATTCAGAGACGTCTCTGAATTTCTTTATAATGAATCTATTCTTTTGAGGTGAGAAAAAAAAACATAATGTCTATCAATTCAAATGAGAAAACAAATCTAATTTTGAAATGTGACCCATCCCCCACCCTGATTCATTTGGCTAAACTGCCTTCAAGGCAAAAGTTTATTCAACATTTGCATGTTTCATGTTTTCAAAGGATATTTTGCTTCTAATTGATTTTAAATTGATCACTCCAATGCTCAAAAAGCCAATGTCAGGTTTCAACATAACGGTCGAATTTCTAGGGTGAAGGACATAATCCTAATCCAAATATTTAAGCACTATACAGAACTATATAGAATATAGTTAGAAGATTCAGGTTAGTTGTGAGTCATATTCAAGTTCAGTATCTAAAACTTCTTGTAAAAGAATATGGATCACCCTACTTTATTTTATCTATGTAATAAAACAGGAGCTATGCCTTCGGTTTTGAGATTCCCTGGTCTCAATCTGTTATGGAAATGAGGGGATTTAGACACAATAAACTCAAGTACATCTTGTGGATTTTTCCTGTGGATTTATTTTTGTTTTGAAACCTCAAGAAATTCTCTGGAACTCCATCCTGTTATGGACCAGATGTTCTGCATGAGGTTTTAGAATAATTTTGTGGCAAGACCTTCCTCCACACTTTAAATTCCAATCAGGATGTTTTTATGCACTGGTGCAGTGAATTACTTGTACCGGGAAGATGTGCAAAATTATAAAAAATTTGGATGGAAAACACCAGAAACAGGAAGTCTGTGTAGTAATGAGCAACGTTTTTCTAAAGATATAAATAAGCCTTGGTAGAAATGTGGTATATTTTGAGTTACAGGATGAATAAATATAATTCTGATTGAAAAAAAGACAATGAAACCACATGATGAGCCTTCATAAATAATGTCTACCATCCTCATTATCCTACACACACTTTTTTATTCATTGTCTTTTACACACTGGCTCGACATTATGGCTCCTTGCCAAACTGAGCAGTATAAGGCCAGTGTTCCCTGGTCAATAGTGCTGAGCCCAGACAGAATGAAGGGTAGTCTCGCTGTGTGCAGCCTGCATGCAAGCTCCCTTGTAAGCCCCATAAAGGCAGCTTCAGCCCTGTGAAAAACAGGTCACTGGGGTGGATATTCACTAAACCTTGGGTTTAATACCTCACTCTGTGGGGTGGAGGCCACTGAGACTACATCTAGGTTTACAAACCTTTTCTTTTCAGACAGAGAGAGGGAGACCCCGCCGCC